GGAGTTTCACCGACTCATCAGGAGGCTGAACCCTCAACAGTCTGCAGAATCCCCTCACTGATTACACTGTAAATGATAATCTACCTTAACCAAAATCAAAGTAGACTATCACTCACCCACACCAGATGGAAGACTCTACAGACGATATATATATATATATATATTATAAGTGTGAAGTACCTGTTGTTATCAGTTTAATATATGATCCGTGGTCCATCGGCCACACAAACAGTGACAAACTGACCTGTTCTGACTTGGCCGATGGCGAATAGTGCAACTACGCCCGTATGCTGGTTTCGAACTTAATACAAAAAGTAATCCAAAAGAAGAAAACAAAAGAAGCACATTATGCCATTGTGGCAGTGGTTGGACTACTTCCCCTACGCGAAGGACGGCGAGAGTTGCCTTCACTCACCAGGAGGGCTCAAGTTGTAAAGGATCTGCGGTCCGTTGAGTCCAGCATCGCTCAGCTGCTTCAAAACTTCTGGAGCCGCGCCACCCGCCATGATTGATCGAAGAGGTGAATGAGCACGAGCACACAGTACACTCTTCCGAGTCCTCTGTCCTGGCGGACGAATTCGGGCACGAGCACAGGGTTTCCGTAAGAGAACAAGGAATGCAGCAGAGACTCAGTTTTTTAGCTCACAGTAGCGAGCGCAATCCTTCTGCACACTGTCAGCCAAACTGGAAACAAGCAGCATATGCACAAGGTCACTCACTCCCTTAACATTCTCTCAATTTCCAACGCTGTACCAGAGTGCTCACGTCGGACCATCTGAGCCAATACTCGCACTAGGACCCTTTTTTGACGGCATCTAATCATGAAGTGGTGGGAGAAAAGAAGCCCGACAATGCCGACATTCATTCTTGTTCTTGTGAGTATTACCCTTCGAAAGACTTGGAAAGGACCGGAAACCTACTTCGAATGCTACATACATGCCAGGCTGGCTATTGTCGAACCAGGAGAAAATATTGGATGAATACGAGGCATGACAAGGAAGAGGGCAAGGGACAAGAAAACGACAAAAGGCGGGACCAGGGACCAGATACCATTCACAGAGACAAATGAATCAAGACTACGTAGCACCAGCAGGCAATTGCGTTAGATGATGCGCGCAGACACGTCTACGGTCATACTCAGGGAATACTCACACTAGGACTTTTTGTACTAAGCTCTGAACGAGATTGCAATCAGATTTATCCGGGTCTCGTATGTTGATTGCAGTCAGGTGCATTTAGAAAAAGTCCCGGCGTGAGTATGCCCTCATTCAGCGAAAACCTCAACACTCACTACACACTGACACTACTGCTGAGCACTTTTGTCGATACATCCCTCGGAAAAGCAGTGCCACGCTCGGTAATGAAAGTCTTGAGGTCCTCGTCCCGCCAACACGAATTCCTCGCTTAACTTTTCTGACCGTAGATTGCGAAGATCGGCGACTGCAACCGAACGTAGAATCCTGTCTAGGTAAGTGGGACTTCCGGTCTGTACATAACACGGTAAGGCGCTGCTGTACTCCAACTCGCAGCGCCTGGATTGACATCGTGTGAGATTTTTTTTCTGAGAAGTATGCGATGATGAGCATCGTGAACCAGTTCAAGCGAAGCGCACACACTCACACAAGGACACTTCGAACGGGATCTGTTTCCAACTACGACCAGATGCACTCATGGGAGACCTACTGCGACTTGCCGAAACGGTTGTGACCTTGGCTCGTGGTCCGCGAAGGGAAAAGGGAATGAAGATGGAGCATAAAGTCRTAATCACAATCATTCACCCAATTTCTACGGCATTCTCTAGATCGACATCCCGGAGCGAGCAAAGAGACGACTCCACTGCTTAGCTGACATTGCGCGAGAAGCACGGCTCACCTGATTCAAGACAGTCCGATGGCCAAGACTTACTGCAACCCAGTGGCTCCCGCACGAACCGCCTGCCCCCTATCACTCACTGAGTCGCTGCTAGCAACAGGGATATGGAGGTCCCACCCAGTACAGTGGCGAGAAGAGGGAGTAATGTGCTTGTAACCTGCAGCTGTGGCCGACTGCTTCGTGCGATCAGTTCGCCTTTTAAATGTCGTAGTGATCGAAGTGGTCGTGCGGTTCGCACCCTTTGCCGCCCATATGCTCATCGCTGTCCACCACGAGCGCGCGCTGCACCGGTGGGAGAGAAATGGGCAGGCCGTACACTGAGATCCGTAGGCGGGAAGCAACACATACCCAAAAAGAGCCCAAAAAAACAAAAACAAAAAGAAGGATACCCAAAAAAAGGCTGTGACGATCATTGATGCTGATCGGACAATTCGGCGGACCTTGGTACCGGTCGATCTCCTGCCGACCTGGACAGCAGAGGCTCACGGGTGACCTGACGGAAACTTTAGGGACCTCACACCAGGACTGTCACTGTCACTGTGACGGCGATTAATCCCGGCACAACGCTGATCGGGCAAGTGCAACGTACGGGTACCCTTCGTTCCACCTGGATGATCCGACAAAAGTTGCTGAGCGCACTCGGCTGGCTTGGCTTGGGTTTGCGATCTCGGATCTCGCTGCATTTAATGATGATGGATGGTCTTCCTCCACCCAACCATCGGCCTCGCTACACTACTCTCCACATTCACTAAAGACAAAAAAAATTGGCAATCTGTTTCCATGTTCTAGCTGTCCCGTTTTGCACCTTTGCACATTTCGAGAGCGATGGAGCGAGGCCCCATCTCTGCTCTGGAAACAGTTAGGCAAGGTGCCGAGAGGTGGAAGGCTGGAAGCAACGAACGGACCGCGATTGGCCAATGGTCCTGGCTCCACCACTCTCGAAATGTGCAAAATGAGAGTGAAACTTCCTCTACAGCATGGAAGGATACAGCACCATGATTTTTGTCTTTCGTGAATGTCGACAGTACTGCAGCGAGGCCCAATGTATACAGTCAACCTTTCGCGTCAACGTATCCAGTCAACTTTTCGCGTTATATGCACTCGTCATTTTCGCAGAGGGGCACGAGGCCCGATACCGCAGCAATCGGGAGAGGGCAGCAGTGGACAGAAAAGCGAACCTGCTCGGGGCAAAAACCGAAAACCGACGAAAAGACCTGGTGGGGCAACCATTGGACCAAATTTGTAGGGCCTCTACTGTCATGGGACCCAAGTTGGGCACTCCATGGAAAGCTTCCACTCGCTTGGTTCGAAGACGTTGGGAGAGGTTATGTGGCCCAAGCAATTCGATCAATTCTGCTCTGGGTCATATGGGAGGATAGGAACAACATTTTGTTCAGGCAAGAGTGGACCAGCGACGCAACAGTCGTTAGAATGATGATAAAGGTCGACTGGATCAGGATGGGCAAAAGAGGCAGCACCCCGCGTGCCAGACACTTGTTCTTGGTCACTTGGGCTCGTGACAATCTGCTTGCCGCCATCTCACTGACAGGGCAATTGGTTATCTCCCCATGGCTAAGCTCTTAGCCTACAGGTTCCCTCTCCTCCTAGGCTCAGACCAACACTGTCGCTACAGTACTCACGTCTTCATCTCCCCATCCTCTTTTCATTCATTTCTTCCTTCCTATTTTCTTTCCCTGTTTTTTCTCCCTTCTACTCCCCTTGCCTCTCTCGTGGTTTTACATCTCGCCTTTACCTTCTTTAGAATAGGGTTGACCCCCAACCAGGGCACTCGGTTCTTCAGGCCACAGTAGGCCACCAGCAGGGTAGCTGAGGGGCGGTGGGAGGAGAGTGCCATTCACTAAGGGGAGCCTGTCGGTAGAACAGGCTCCAACCCGCCGTACTTAGGCGGG